ATGTCAACAAGGAAATGGCGCCAATGACGCGGTTTGACGGTAATTACATTGACAGCTAGGGCCATCTATGGGCAAATTCCGGTTTCATATTTACAAACCTGATATGTAAAGGATAATGGATAAAATGGGCCGATTTTAGTCTAAAAAGTGTAAGTTACACACGTAATCTTACATTTTTTGAGTCGCGGGATACGATGGCAACATTTTTATCCGTCTCTAAACCTATGAGTAAGTGGTAAAAATTCTCAAATGTGTTGAAATAAGGCACTTTCAATAGAAATTCTTTACTAGATGATTTGTGAAAAATGCATCCTTTATAAGTGGTTCATATGGCTCTTATAATTATCACATAGAATGATGGAATAGGAATACGCGAAAAAAGTACAAAGAAATGATTAAAATTTGCTCAAAACAATACCTCATGCAAAATTTATTGTAAAAATCTAAGTGTAACTTTGAATATAAATATATAGCTGCTACTGTATAATAAAAAATTTATGTTATTGTATAATATAATGTAAATTTAATGATTGATGCGATATAGTATATTCAGCTTATGATTGGACTTAAAAGAATTATAGAGCTTTTATCATCGATATTCTCTTACGTCGTGATAATCATGAAAGCCTATCTAGGATATTAATCCGTGGAATACAATCATAGGTCTTTCAACTCCAAAAGAATTTTTTTCTTGGAAGTTTCTCGAAGTGTCAAAGAGCAAAATGCAGAGTGCATTGTGCAAAGTTACAATGTATTAAATCAAATCTCTCATTTCCTCGATCTGTGTTTCCTTTTTTATAAATAAACTATACTACATATTATTATCGTCCAATTTTAATTACATATGTTTGTTCTATAAACTTGAAAGAATATTCATGAATTTTTGCAGATTTCTTAAATCATTGTAAATAGTTGAAGTAATTGTCGGACTTCAAAGATCCATGATTGTATCAAGATAGTGCCTTTTTTCATATTGAATTGTAAACTATACTATTTTCAAAACTTGAATTTAGTTACAAAAACATAAAAAAATTGAAGTTCCATAAAATTAA